CGAGCAATCTCAGAGGAGTGAATATTGTAAGAACCAAACAAATTCTAGACCTAAAAGGTACAATAACTGAATTGAAAAATATACCAGACAGGCTTATATAGCAAGTTGGAAACACCAGGAGAAAGTGAATGAACTCAAAGTCAAGAGAAAGTATCCAACCTAAAAAAAAAGCAGACAAGCAAAAAGATTTAGGATAGCAGAACCTCAGAGAGCTACTTTTGGGGAAGTATTGAGGTCAAACACAAGTATCCTTTAATGCACTGAAAAATAATAGAGACTATTAATAAAATTCAAACAGGAAAAACACAAAGAAAACATACCTATGTACACTATAGTCAGTTTAAAATAGAAAGTTTTTTTTTTTTTAAAGAAAAATATCTAGAAAGTGGTCAGACAGAAAAGCAGTATCCACCTTCTTATTGCAAATTATAGAGAACAAGGGCCGGGGATTTAGCTCAGTGGTTAAAGCGCCTGGATTGCAAGAACAAGGACCTGAGTTCGATTGCCAGTACCAAAAAAAAAAAAGAAAGAAACTGTTTTCCTTTACAAATTATAGAGAACAGAAGACAACAGAAACACCATTTTTAAAGAACTGAGGGAGGGCTGGGAATGAAGCTCAACGGTAACAACACCTGCCTGGCAAGCATGAGGCCCTCAGTTCAATTCCTGGCACCAAAAGGAAGGGGGTTTATACCACTAAGCTAGAATTCATGGCAGTTACCCACAAAATAAAAATAGAATCATTAAATGATTCAGCAATTCTATTTTCTGGATATAAAACTAACAAAACTGAAAGTCGAAACTCAAGTATATTATGTGTACACCTGTATTCACATAGCATTTTTTACAACAGGCGAAAGATGTAAGCAAGCTAGGTGTGTAGGACATACTTGTAATCCCAGCACTCTGGGAGACTGAGATAGGAGGATCTCAAGTTTGAACCTAGCCTGGGCAATTTAGCAACTTAGTGAGACCCTGTCTTAAAAAAATAAAAAAGAACTGGGAATATAACTGAGTGCAAAGGCCCTGAATTTAACCCCCAGTAATAGGGGGAAAAAACCTAGATACAAGAGTACTTATTGTATACCATATACAACAGGACCTCTGCATCTGTGGCTATGGATTCAACCAAACTTCAATCAAAAGTATTTGGGGAAAAAAATTATCTGTACTGAATATGTACAGATATTTTGTCATGAATATAGTATAACAATTATTTACATTGTATTAGGTACTAAGTAATCCAGGTATAATTTAAAGTACACATAAGAATGTACATATACTACCACAATTTTATATAAGGGACTTGGCCATTCACAGATTTTGGTATCTGAGGAAAGTCATGGAACCAATCCCCTACAGAAACCAAAAGGACAGCTACAGATGAAACTGCAGTACAGAAAGAAGTAATCTATGGCTTCAAAAACAAAAACAAACCAGCAGATGCCTGGAGAAAAGATTAACAGGAAAGGTTTATGAAGAGATCTTTCTGAAGTGACAGAAAGTCCTATAATTTGGTAGGAGTATAAAATACAAAATTAAGCAGTTAAGTTTTGTGTATATTTTTTAAAACTATTTAAAAATCTGGTAGAGGAAAGAAGTGGGCAGAGGTTCTACTGAACAAGAAACCAAAGAACATCACTGAAACTAGGTGATGGACAAAAAGAGAGCTCACTATACTATTTTGTTAACTTTATGTATGTTTAAAATTTTCCATAATAGAAGTTTTAAAATAATTTCAATTCACTCTCAGTGGAGGAAGAAAATTGTTAATCACTGTTCTTCACATAACTTAAAATCTCTTAAGGAATTATCTAAACTTCCTTTTCTATCCCAAATAATCCCTGTCATTTATACTTTCTTTACTATTATTCATTATAGTTGTAGCTCACCTTGAAATCTGCTCATGTTTTCCACATCTGTCCATGTACTAATTAGCCCAAACAAGAAATGGGGTGGAAGTAACACATCTTTAGCCTCCACAACATGACCAGCAGTAAGCTATCTACTGTAAATACATTAACCATTTAAATCCTAAAACTGAACATAGCATCTAATAATTTCATCTTATCTATTTACTTCTTTTTTACTCCTCTGCCTTGCTAGAATTTTCCTTCAATGGCTGCATGGATCTTATTCTGTTCACTACTTCCATTTGGCACATACCAAGAATTCAGTAATTATGTATAACTGAAAGAATTAAAGAATGTAGTATCAGAGAACACTAATTAAGTATCTAATTAAGCTCTTTTTTTTTCTTTTCTTTTCTATTTTTTTTTTTTTTGGTACTGGGGATTGAACTCGGGTCCTTGCGCTTGCGCAGCAGGTGGTGAAACCACTGAACTAAATCCCCGGCCCAAATTAAGCTCTTTTTTGAAGACAATTTTTTTCCCCTTCTAGCTAGCACAGATTATTTTGCCTTTAATCTTACTGGACTCTGTATCTATGTTGTTATGTATTTGTTACAAGTGGAATGGGACAGAACTTCACATTTTCTCCTTATTCAAAGTTTAGCTGGGTAAAACAACTGTAATCACAGCTACTTGAGAGACTGAGGCAGGAGGACTGAAGGTTTGAGGCAAGCCTGGACAATTTAGCAAGAACTTGTCTCAAAATAAATAAAAAGGAATGGGGACATAGCTAGAGTACTTACCTACCAAGCATGAGGCCCTGGGTTAGAGCCCCAGTATGTCAAAGAAATTAACTAAAATATTTTAATATAGCAAATCAGTTTCTCCTATATACTTTAACAAATCTTTAAATGATGTGATTTCTATATATAGTTAATTTTTCTGTTTATATTCACATGGATAAAGAAAAAACTCCTAATAGTTTTTGATAGTCTTAAATTGTTATCACTACCACATAACTTAAAAACTGTAAATATTTAGAATTCTTAAAAGGTATAAAATGCAGTTAAATTATTACTGAGTTAATAACAGATTATAATAAAAACATCAATTTTACTTCATAAGAATTTAATATAAAACATGAATTGTCTAGTCATTTCACATGCCCATTTTTTGATTGGGTCTTTTATTTGGTGGGGGATCTAATTTTTTTCAGTTCTTTATATATTCTAGATATTAGTTCTCTGAGGAATAGCTGGCAAAAGTTTTTTTCCCATTCTGTAGGTTGTTGTTTATTTCTGTTGCTTGCTTCTTTTGAAGAAATACAAATGGCCAATAAATACACGAAAAAATGCTCAATACCACTGAGCATTCAAGAAATGCATATTTTAAAAAATAAATAAAGAAAAAAGAAAAAAATGCATATTAAGGGCCGGGGATTTAGCTCCATGGTTCCAGCACCTGCCTCACAAGCAAAAGGTCCCAAGTTCGATCCCCAGTACCAAAACCAAAAAATGCATATTAAAACAACATTGAGATTCCATTTTACCACAGAAAGAATGGCCACCACCAAGAAATCAAATAACAAATGCTGGCAAGGGTAAGGGAGAATCCCTTCTATACTGCTGGTGGGAATGTAAACTAGTATGACAGTACAACCATTACTGAAGTCAGTATGGAGAATATTTAAAAAACTGAAACTAGAAATTCCATTTGACCTAGCTATTCCCCTTCTAGGTACCTTCCCAAAAGAGTTAAAGACCTCATATTACAGTGATACATGCACAACCACGTTTATAGCACAGTTAATAATAGCTAAATCTTGGAAGTGGCCTATGTGCCCATCAACAGATGGATTAAAAAAATGTATTTACACACAATGGAGTACTACTCTGCCATAAAGATATACACTATGAGACCATAATGTTAAGCAAAGTAATTCGGACACACAAGCTTAAATATCACAAGGTTTTTCTTTCTTTTTTTTTTTTTGGTACCAGGGCTCGAACTTGGAACCTTGCACTTGCAAGGCATGCAGCGGAGCCACTGAGCTAAATTCCTGGCCCCACATGGTTTATCTTATATAAGAAACTTAAAATATAAATAAAGAGCAAAATAAAAGATAGATAATAGGAAGTAGGGAAATACATCTTTCTCAAAAGGGAAAGGGATCAAGAAATGCAATAAGGCAGAGGGACGGAAAGGAAAAGGGATGAAGAAAGAAATTAGGATGTATCATGTACATGTAACATGTACCAACTCCACACAAGAAATGTAAGTATTATGTATTGTAAACATGACTGAAAGAAAAAAAAAAAAGGAAGGGAATCAAGAGTTGGATGGAAGGGGGAGGAAGAGAAGGGAAATGAGGTGAAAAAAAGAAATTAAGATATATTGTACACATGTCCTAATTCTTCATAAGGAAAGTAAACATTACGTACTTACAAACACGTACTAATAAAAAAATATTTTAAAACTAAGCACATACATAAAGTTTATGATCCCTTGAGTGAATCAAGAAAATCTAGATTTGTTCTCAAAATACATTCTTCAAGAAACATTTGGGGTGTGGTTTATAAGTAGAACTATCAATACTTTGAATTAGAATTAGAGTTCCACTTCAATGTTGGAAAATAATCTTTTCATTCTACATAAAATCCTCAAAACATACATAAGTTAAAAAGACCAAGAGGAGTCATTGACAGTAGAGCCATAAAATACAAAAATTGAGTAAAACACCTGTTAGTTAAAGCATGTGAGTTGTAAAACCAAAATTCTTTCTCATTAAATGCTCTACCCCAGAAGGTGCAATTTTTCTGACCAACTAAATTTTTAAAAAGATTGTTTTAACATTCCGAAGCATAAAACATGAGAAAAGTAAACATCAAGTGAAACAATAAATCATTCGCAAAGAATGACATTATATATATAAAACTTTATTATTTAAAAAACATTCACAAATGTCTTATGGATATCATTTGCCACAAATTCAATCCAAATTCTTTGCACATGCCATTTCATGATTATACATTATACATAACTTTTAAAATTAAACATTTAATTAAAAGGTGCCAAGTATAGTAAAAGGCTTAAAATAACAGAGGTTTCAAAGTAAATAACAATTCAGAGCCACAAGCAAATAAATCTGACCTTTTCAAGTGGCTTTCCCAAAGAGTTTCCAATCAGTTTCCAGTCATTTAAGACTTCTTCAACTCTAGAAATAAACCTAGGAAAAGGAGAAAAAACTTTCTAAATATGTAACTGCACATTTTTTTCCTATTAGTACAATTTTTTTTAAAAGGTATGTTTCATATTCTAACACTTTTTATATTGAGACAGTCTCATTTGTGTAGTTCAGGCTGGCCCTGAACTCACAATGTAGCCCAGGCTGGCCTGGAACTTGCTGCAACCCTCATCCCTCAGCCTCCCAAGCGCTGAGATTACAGCAGTGTGCTATCATGCCCAACTATATTTTAACATTTTGATTAGAGAAGGCTCAGTAAGTTACTTTAGGGTCACTAGCCTAAAGTATGAATACAAAATAAAAGCAAAAATTTAGCTCATGAATTCTTAAAATTTTAATTCATTTAAGTCTACGTACACAAAAACAAAAGCTTGCCTTCTATAAAATATAAAATTTTTTTAATATATGTAAATTAAGAACAAATATCCCTATTAAAATGATATAATGAATTTGGACAGAGGGAAGTAAAAACTGACAGACTAAAATGATACTCTTTATGAAACTGATAATTACTCCCCATCCTTAACCTAACTAACCTGTTAACTTTTCTTTTAAATATATTTAAGAATTCTGATTTGCCTTCCCCCCAAAAAAGAAAACATTATCTAAGATCTCTGCTCATTAAATAAAGTTTGAAGGGATAGTTGAGAAGAAATTCCAAGTAAATTTGTCAGTTTTAAGGAATAACAAAGAGATTTAAAAACTATTCACTGTAATCTTTAATGATAAAAAAGAACTGAATTCTGACTAGCAACATGTTCAACATTAGTAAATGAAAACCACAGTCTAACTTCTTATATAAGTTAAATATGAAGTAATCAAATGCAACACTGCTTCCTAAAACATCTAGGAAGTACTGCTAGAATATTTCTAGTCAAACTATTCAACGGAATCAGATTTTTTATGGTAGCACTATAAATTAATATTTACATTTATTTTAATATGATAATGATAAATTACAGTTTATGATTTCACCAAACCTTTTCATTAATCCCTCTTTAAAATCAAAAGTAGCATTAATTCTTATTTTGGGGCAGTCAAACAGCAATTACTAGTTTTGAAAACAACTGCCTTAGAAATAAGTTTTACATATTTACAAGAGAACAAATAAAAACATAGAATATACCTATAAGTGAGCAAAATTTTGCATAAAATATACAGGAGGCTAGGACTATAGCTCAGTAGTAGGGAGCTTACATAGTACCTAAGAGGTATTGGGTTCCATTTCAAGAATCAAAACAAAGCACTAGGTGTACAATAAACTAAAGGTAAAATACTGGAAGCTACTTTAATGTTCCCTTGCAGTAAATAGGTGTGGTACATTCACTCAATGGACAAATAAGCACTCATTAAAAAGCTTGGATTTTTTTGGTACCGGGGATTGAACTCGGGTCCTTGCACTTGTGTAGCAGTCGTCGAAACCACTGAGCTAAATCCCTGGCCCTAAAAATTTTGTTTTAAAGACTTCTAGACTTAATTGACAGATTCAGTAGAGTAGCTGGATATAAGGTAAACAATCAAAAATCAATAGCCCTCTTGTACAAAAATAACAGGCTCACTGAGAGAGAAATTAAGAAAACAATTCCTTTCACGACAGCATCCAAAAAACTGAAGTATAGGAATCAGTCTAACAAAGGAGACAAAAGACCTCTACACTGAAAACTACAGCACTTTGAAAAAAAGAGATATAAGAAAATGGAAAGATATCCCTTGTTCCTGGGTAGGAAGAACCAATACTGTGAAAATGGCTATACTTCCAAAACTGCTATACAGATTCAATGCAATCCCAATTGAAATCCCAACAGTATATTTCACAGAACTAGAGAAAACAATCCAAAAATTCATTTGGAACCAGAAGAGACCCAGAATAGCAAAAGCAATTCTAGGCAACAGAGACATGACAGAGGGTATCACAATCCCCAACTTGAAACTATACTACAAAGCCACTGTGATAAAAACAGCATGGTACTGGCAAAGAAACTGACCTGAGAATCAGTGAAATAGATTAGAAAACACAGAAACAACTGCAGACATACTCAGCTACCTTATCTTTGGCAAAGGAGCCAACCATCCTCATTGGAAGAAAGATAGCCTATTTAATAAATGATGTTGGAAAAACTGGATTTCAACCTGCCAAAGATTAAAACAAGACCCCTATCTTTCACCAAGCACTAAACTAAAATCAAAGTGGATTAAAGATCTAAATATTAAAACAGAAACACTAAACTTGCTGGAAGATAAGTAAGATAGAATTCTCGAAGACACTGGCATAGGAAAAGATTTTATGAACAAATCCTCAGTAGCAGGAACTAGAAAAAAGAATCTACAAGTGAGATCTCATCTTATTAAAAAGCTTCTGCACTGCAAAAGAAACCACCAACAGAGCTAAAGGACAACCTACAATGTGGGAAAAAATTTTTATCAGCTGTTCCTCAAAGGTCTACTATCTAGAATATATAAAGAACTCAAAAAAATCAGACACCCCCCCCAAATATAAAGACCCAATTCAAAACTGGGCATCTGAAATAAACAGGCATTTCTCAGGTAAACAAGTAAAAGCAGCAAATAAATATATGAAAAAATGTTCAATATCACTGGTTATTCGAGAGATGCAGATAAAAACAACACTGAGATTCCACGCCTCCCCAGAAAGAATGGCTGCTATCATGAAATCAACCAATAACAAATGCTGGCAAGGCTGTGGGGAGAAAGGAACCCTTCTCCATTGTTGGTGGGAGTGCAGACTGGTGCAACTACTGTGGAAATAAATATAGAGATACCTCAAAAAACTAGGACTAGAGGTCCCATTTGACCCAGCTATTCCTCTGCTGGGTATCTTTCCAAAAGAATTAAAAGAATCATATCACAGCAATATATGCACACCCATGTTTATAGTAAGTAGCACAGCTTGTAATAACGAAAACTTGAAACAGCCCAAATGCCCATCAACTGGAGACTGCATAAAGATGTGGTTTTTCTATAAAACAGAGTACTACTCAGCCATAAAGAAAAACTAGAGACATTTATAGCTAAATGAATGCACATTGAGGCCATACTCTTAAGTGAAATAAATAGGACACACATGTAAATACTGAATAGTTTCTCTGGTGTGAAAAACTAAAAGTGTAAATAAGGTTCAAATAATATAATTGATAATGTGAAATAGGAAGAAAAGGTCTAAAAGAGTAGGGGAAATGGGAAGGGTAGGGGAAAGGAAAGAAGGGAAAAGAAAAAATACGAGAAAAGGAAAAAATGGAAACAAAGTCTCTGTAAATAGGGAAGGGTGGAGCGGGTGAAGGGAAGGCAGGGAAATGCGGAAAAAATAAGAACTAAGATACATCATGTAAAGGTACAAGATCCCAATGATGAATGTAACTGTATTTTATACCTAAAATGTACCAAATAAACTTAATGAAAAAAAATTGTTTTGAAGAACATTTGAGGAAACAAGAAAATGTTCATGCTAGATGAAAAATAGAAGCAACAGAAATAAGTATTGATATGGTTTGATCCAAAAAGTCTTATGACACATGCACACAAACTAGAAATGTCAAAAAATTAAATGGTAGTTATATACTGGTAGTAGATTTATAGACATTTTGTATTTTACTATGAGGTAATACAGCTATAATAAAAATAATTTAAAGTGTAGCTCTCACAAAAAAAGGAATACCTTAAAATACTTATTGTATGACTTCTAAAAGGTATTAGCAAAAAATTTAGACTGTATCATATTAGTACTGAGACTTAAATAGAAAAATTCAGTAACTTTTTCCTTAAAAGCTCTCTAGATCTTATTGAAGGGCTATTTCTGACTCTATGTTCTATATTTAGTTCCTCTGAAATATGCTGTTTGATGAAGTTTCTTTCCCTTTCTAGCTCTTATGTCAATTTCTAATTAAAGATTCATTTGTATTACTTGATTCATGTCTGTCACTTCCACTAAACTGAACATTCAATAAGTAGGAACCATATCCAGTTACCTACCACCATATCCCTAAATTCTTAATTTCTTGACTGTATTTGACATGTGGACATTCAGTAAATACTTCTTCAAAGGACAAATGATAAAAAGAGTTATGGACCTCTACTTAGTCCTCTCAATAAATTATCTGTAGGGCATATAACATACTGACAAGAACTTTTCATTCAAACATTAAACTCAAGGTTTAAGAGATTTCAGTGTCTTAGCATTTTTCTAGTGAATTGTGAAATACTGGTTTTGTTATATAAACAAGAGGATAAAAGCCAAAAACAAAATTTCCTACTTTGTGATAGTCCCCATTAACATGTTAACAATTATTTCTATACGAAGAGCTAAATATTTAATATACCATTTCAGGGTATATAAAAATATTTAACTAAGGGAAAGCAATTATTTTTCCATTGACACACTGACCTTTGCTCACTACCTCCCAACCACCAAGATTCAAATCACATTTTTCTAACTACCCTCAGGTATCAATTTCAGATAGGTATAGTGGCCTACACCTGTAATCCCAGCACTTGGAAGGCTGAGGCAGGAAGATCGCCGTGAGTTCGAGGCCAGCCTGGGCTACATAGCAAGTTCAAGGGCAGCCTGAATTACATAGCAAATCCAACTCAAAAAGCTGCCTCAGCCTTCCAAGTGTTGGGATTACAGGTGTGGAAACCAAATTCAAACCCAACAGTTCATCACTTTGACATTTCCTTACTTTCAATTTTTCAGGCAAGAAAATGTAGTTCCTTATTTGACTCTTTTCACTCTTACATATATCAAACATATCACCCTAAGTCTTCTTTAAAATATTATATAATCTTTCCTCTCTATCATCCCTTTTTCTCCAGTCCCCAAATCACCATCCTATCTCTAAATAAAGGTAAAATGTTTGCTTTTAATTTACCTCGTGTCCTGAAACAACTCCTGTCAACCTAAAGTCAAGGGTCTCTCACTACGTATTTTCTTAAACAGTGATTCTAAGTATTTTCTTAAACAGTGATTCTAAGTGTGGTCTCCTGTTCAGCAGTATCTACATGACCTCAAATCATGTTAGAAAAGCACATTTTGGGGTTCTACATCAGACCTTCAAAATCAACAACTATGAGGGTAAAGCCCAGCTATCAATGATTCTGATGGGCACTAAAGGTTGAGAGTCAATTGTGAAAAGGACTAACTTTAGATCCCTTCACTCAGCTTTGGAGACTATTCAAACCTGGTCTCATCTTCCTTACTAAACTTATTTTTTCCTATCAACAGATGGCACTTCAGTCCTTATTTCTTCATGAAGTCCCAAAAGTTCATTCTCACCTATGTCTCTTTTCATTTTCTTTTTTTTTTTGGTACTGGGGATCGAGCTCGGGTCCTTGCAATTGCACAGCAGGCGGCATAACCAATGAGCTAATCCCCGGCCCTCTCTTTTCATTTTTAACTGACCACTTCCCATTTCAGGGCATTTCACTTTCCATTTCTTATCTTCTCCTCAAATGTATCTTGAGAAATGTTTTAGTCCACAATATTATCCCTATTTAAACTATTTTTATAGTTAGTATCAATTGGCTTACTATTTTAATTATTTGCTGTTTTCGTTTTTAACATATGGATCAAGCTTTTCTCCATTAGTATAACTGAATAAACTACCTGCTCAATTAAGTCTTTCCAGGGTGGTTGCGTCCTACTAACTGCTTTGGGACAGGGAGGGAGAGTTTATACTATGGGTCAAACTTTAATTTCAGCAAAAATCTTCAAATTTTCCTATTCCACATAATACATGATTTCCACTGATTTTTCTCTCCGAATAGGAATGATTATAAAATGCTACAATAACCTAAACACTGACTTCAACACCAATAAAACTGAAAGGAGGGCCGGGGATTTAGCTCAGTGGTTCTGCCACCTGCCTCACAAGCGCAAGGACCTGAGTTCGATCCCCGGTACCAAAAAATAAACAAACAAAATAAAACTGAAAGGAGTCTGTGATACTGAACAGAAAAACTTCTCAGCCTAAGCTATCATTTCTCTACAAACTCGGCTATTAACTAATTTCAATAACACAGTTTCACACACACAGCTGTTCATCTGAGTTTGACAGGCAGAGGAAGCCTGGGTATACTATCCACTGATATGTAACAACTAGAATCACAACATTCCAAAGCCATATGCAGACTTTGTATAAAGGTTACTCTACAAAATGGGACGAAGATGATGGGTGTGTGGCAGATAGAAAACCATAAAAGGGTGTAGCAATATACACAGGAATAAAAAATCAGCTGCGAAGTGAGCTAAACGGAAATGAAAATAAAAACATTAGTGATAGCCTCGGAAATAGTTTTGCGGCTGAGCAAAGATGTACGGAAAGTGATCTGAGAGTAAACAAAACTTTGTCAGAAAGCCGGAGTCTTCCGGGTTTGGCTGACGCGGGCGGGCAATCTACTCAGACGCGAGATTCAGAAGAGCCCTGTAGCTAACCAGAGAAGGGAGACAGCAAAGACCCGGGGCCTACTAGTTGTATTTTTCTCACAGGAGAGGCGTCACATGTGTTGTGTTTGGGTTAGGGAAGCGGCAGGACACCAGGGCCCAGAGTTGTGGGAACCAAAGACACGACTCACCTTTCCCATTCCGAAGCAGTGGTGAAGTCTGTCATCTCAAATACCTCGGACTCGGGCTGTGGGAAGGGGAGGAAAGTAAAGGGATTGAGCGATGATGTGGAAGAGTGAACTTAGTGATATGGACGGGCAGGAAGCAGAAACCTCACCTCACTGTCGGCCGCCATGTTGAGGAGCGCCGGCCGGCCGCTGGGGTTGCCGGGAAGAAGAGCCTAGGAAGCCCGACCGAGAACGGCAGTGGGCGTGGACTGGGCGTGGACTGGGCGTGGACTGGGCGCGGCCCCGCCCCCTAGGGCCCCGCCCCACGTTTGGAAGTCTTCCACACCCTAGAGAATGGCCTTTATTCTTGGGGCGGGAAGAACTTTAGCATTCCCTCCAGGTCCCCTCTAGCTGGTTTAGTCATATTTGAAATTTTCCTGTAGCGACTGCAAGAAAATAACAGAAGCAGGGTAAGACAAGGCCCTAGATTCATGTGGATAAAACTGTATTTAAAAACGCAAAGCACATTGGGTTTTTCATTCAAACTTTATTGATTACCATGAGCCAGGTGCTATATGTAAACTCACCTACCCTATCCTCTGAAGAACTTACCCAGTTCGGCTAGGTAATGAAATAAAATCCTCATACTAGTTATCTGGTTTCTGGGAAGAACAGCAGGCCCTTCGGTGAACACTTCACTTTTTAAGCAGTTGAAGAACAGAAAGGATGCCAGCTAGCAGTTAAGAATTCTACTTCATAATACTGAAATATTATAGATGAAATGATACCATGTCTGGGATTTGCTTCAAAGGAAAGGAAGGAGGAAAATGAATGGCGATAGGAATGAAATAAAAACCTCTCAATATATAGTCGTTTAACTGGTAATAGGTACATGAATGCTAATTATACTGTATCTTCGAGTTTTGTTTAGGTTTGAAACTTTTCTTAATTAAAAAATTTGTACCTCATTTAATGAGTTTTGCAACCCAAAGAGAGAAGCTGGAGGATATGCAGCTTCAGTACTAAAAAAAAAATCCTTAATCTTAAGAGTTAGAGACATCAGAGATTATGTGATGTAGATAAAACAATTGAGAAAACTGAAGGTCAGAAGTTTTTAGTGAGTGGTATTGAGGATGAAACACATGGTCTCATATGCTAGAGAAGTGCTCCACCACTAATTTATATCCCCAGCCTGTGGTCAGAAGAATTTTATCAACATGTTATTCCCATGAACTCCTGTTATTCCCTTGAACTCCTGTCTCTTGTGGCTCCTAGTTTCTGTCTATTACACTAGTGAGGGTCTACAGCAACATTTTCCAAGAGGTCTCAACTTGCACCTTCATTTACAAGCATTTATCAAACACTCGTCAGAATCTGTCATTACTGTACTAGGCTCCAGGGGTATAAAGATGCAAATACAGTTCATTAGGGAAACTGGAAATTTGCTTCATGGATAGGAAGAAGAGATGTTAGTGTCACTGTATTAATGGTAACCTTGACAACAAACACTGTGGTGGAGAGTTGAAGGAGGCAGCCAGGTTGGGGTGGGAAAGGCTTCTGTGGGAATAGCATTTCCAGAAATTGGAGGGTAGGAAAGTCTGACTTGTCTAACGAACTGAACAAGGATGTGGCACCTAGAACACAGTGTTTATGATGAAGTTGAGAAAGTAGGCATGGGCCAGACAATGTTAGGCCTTCTCTATAAGGACTGAACTTTATTTCAGTAGAAGTCACTAAAATGTTGTGAAAGAGAAATGTAACCCAATTTATATTTTGCAAAAGTCTGGATGCTGTATGAAGAATAAATGCGTAGGGGACAAAAAGGGTAGAAACAGCTAGGAACCATTAAAGCATCCAGTGAGATGATTTGGAGCCTTTGACTAGGATGGCCAACAGTTAAGGTGAACAGATTTGAGCTATATTTTGGGAAATAAGATAGGACTTGTTGATGAGTTGAATTCAGGGATAAGGGAAAGGTAAGAACCAATAATAATTTTCAAATTTCTGGCCTAAACAACTATATGAGGATGATTCCTGAGATGAGGAAGAGCAAGAAAATAAGAGTTCAGTTTGACAGATTAGTTAAGTTTGACAGGCTTGTAAAATATTCAAGCACAGTTGTCAAAGAGAAACAGGTTTAGGAATAGAACTCAGAGCCCAGACCTGGAGAAAAGATAAAATCTGAGGGTTGAGATGGTATTTTCAATTATAAGAGCAGGTGAGGTGATTTAAGAAAAGAATATAGAAAGAGGGGGAAAAAAAGATGCTTAAAATAAAGCCCTGAAGAAGTTTTATATTTAGAGAATGGATAGAGGGAAAGTATCCAGCAAAGGGAAGGAAAAGCATGGCTAGTGAAACAGGAGGAAAACAAGGAAAGTGTAGTGACACAGAGCTCAAGAAAAGATTAAAGGTGAAAAACAAAAACGGGAGAGAGGAATGTAGAATAAAGGCTGACTAGTTTTTTGTCTGTTTGTCTTGAAGACAGAAGATAGCAGACAAGTTGTATGCTGGTGGGAATACTCCAGTAGAGAGACTGATGATGAAGGGGAGATGGGAGAGTTGAAGGAGACAGTTCTAAATAAGGTAGGGGAGGAGGAAATCAAAAGAGCTGCGGGGTGGGGGGTGTCACACAACTTTAGGAAACAATTCCCATGTGTTCTGAAGTCTAGCTGCAGGCGACATCAACCACGGGGAACACCTTATGAACAGTACCCCCTGCAGTAGGCAGCAAGGCAGGAGGAGGAATTCAGAGCACATGTAGCAAGAAGAATGAGGCATCTGTGGTAAGACTGGCCTTTTTGAGACGAGAAGGAAAAAAAAAGATAGACACAGACATACGGAGATTTGTACATATGAAAGGAAAGGAGTTTCTTAGTCACTTACTTTTTAAGATTCTCACCAAGAGAAGTAAGTTCATGGGTTTAAAGATCAAATAGATCTGAATTCAGCCATTTATTGACTATATGACTTTGGGAAAATAACTCAACTCTATTTCTCCATTAATAAAATGGAACTTGCAACACCTGTTACTACACAGGAGCTGTCCTTATATGTAAAACAGCACAATATCCTGGCATAGAATAGGGTAATAAATTATAGTGGTTGCATTCATAATGAATGTACTATGAAAACTAGAGTACTGCTGATACATAAAGCATTGGTTTTTCCTTCCTTCATTCCTCAGCCATAAAGAAGTTTCAGTACACACAAAAATCAGAAACTGAAAAACCTCAACACTTTGCTACAAGAAGTGAAAATTTAGAAACTGTATGAAACAGCCTTATTAGGTTGCTAGGTAAAGTTTTCTTCCAAGATATTTTTGGCTTCTTCTCTTCTCCCTGGGGAAATTTTTAAAATAAGTTATTTGTTATAGCGAAGTGTGAAGCTAAGATGCTAAGATGTAAAATACCCAGGGGAGACACACTTTTATTAGATTTTCACTGGTTCAAAAAGCAGAAAAGATTCTGTTTCTTCAGTATTAAGAGCTATTTTGCTCCACATCCAAAGGCAAGGGCTTTCTCTTGCAAGTGTGTTTCCTCTCTGGTATAATTCAGTTATTTCAAGATGTTACCAATAATGGCCATGGGGAAATATTTTGACGCACAGGCAATTTAAGAGATTAGAAGCCTGGAAAAATCACCCTCAACTTAGTCCTCAGAGGGATGGGGGGTGGGGGCGTAACAATATAATTAGGTCTTAGTGATAGAACAAACATTGTTTGTGAAAGGAGCAACAGCTGTGGGGGCACACCACGCTCATCCATGTAGACAACTCTGTGCAGGGAGAATCTCCATGTTGCTGCCATAGAACAATTGCAGTAGAATGTGTAGTGAAAGAGGAAGACAAACTACAGAAAAAGAAATTTCAAAGACAAATTCATTTAGCAGTATTTATCAAGTTTCAAGTTTTTTTATCTTGAGTAAACGTTTTATTAGGAATGAATTGCTCATAATTAGATAAAATGTTTCCTCAAGTTTATTAACTAGCATTAGAGAAAGAGGAAATATTTAAAAATTTGATATCAGGGATTAGTATTTTGTCTGTGTAAAAGATGTGATTTTAAAAGTCCATCAAGACAAGGGTGTAAAAGAATAGAGCTGAATATCACCCTTCAAATGCTTTTCCTACATACTCTAGAATCTTAAGTCTGAGGATCTTTCAATGTTATTTGTTTTGATCTGAGACAATACATCTTACAAAGGGACTCTTTTTTTTCCCATTAAGTTTATTGGTACATTTTAGGTATAAAATACAGTTACATTCATCATTGGGATCTTGTATCTTTATATGAGTATCTTGGTTCT